AGGGTCTCTTCTTAGTAATTATGGTTTTCGCATGGTTTTTGAGTCCGACAAGGTCGTTCTTACCAAAAGCGGAATGTATGTGGGTAAGGGTTATATGTTAGGGGATATGTTTAAACTCAATGTTATGACTGTTATCCCAAAGATGAATAAAGGTGCATCTTCTTCTGCTTACATGCTTGAGTCTTCCAATTTGTGGCATGGTAGACTAGGGCATGTGAACTTTGAATCTTTACGTAGATTAATCAAGTTAGATCACATACCATCTTGTAAGATTAATCCAAAACACAAGTGTGAGACTTGTGTTGAAGCGAAGTTGACAAGATCTTCGTTTTATTCTATTGAAAGAAGTTCAGAGCCATTGGACTTAGTGCATAGTGATGTGTGTGACTTAAAGTTTATACAATCACGTGGTGGCAATAAATACTTCATTACTTTAGTTGATGATTGCACTAAGTATTGTTATGTCTATTTGCTCAAAAGAAAAGATGAGGCTATTGACAAGTTTATTCTTTATAAGAATGAAGTTGAGAATCAATTAGGCCGCAAGATTAAGGCTTTAAGAAGTGATCGTGGTGGTGAGTATGAATCACCGTTTATTGAGATTTGTGCTCAATCCGGGATTATCCACCAAACCACGGCACCTTATTCTCCTCAATCAAATGGGGTTGCTGAGCGGAAGAATAGGACGCTAAAGGAAATGATAAATGCAATGTTAATAAATTCTGGATTGCCACAGAACATGTGGGGGGAAGCAATTCTCTCTGCAAATTACATTCTGAATAAAGTACCCCGAAAGAAAGTGGACAAGACGCCATATGAGTTATGGAAAGGTGTTAAGCCTTCGTATAAATTCTTACGAATGTAGGGGTGTCTTGCAAAAGTGGCAATTCCTACACCCAAACGGGTTAGGATAGGCCCGAAATCCATGGATTGTATATTCATTGGTTATGCACATAATAGTAGTGCATATCGGTTTCTTGTACATAAGTCTAAAATTCTAGACATACACAGGAATACCATCATGGAGTCAAGGAATGCATGTTTCTTTGAAGACATTTTTCCTTGTCGAACCCATGAAGGGGTTCATAGGTCTTTGGAGCAATTTGATGAGCTTGCTAGTAAGGATGATCATGTTGATGATTCAGGTGATGATCAAATTGAGGTTTTAGATGAGCCCAGAAGGAGTAAAAGGGCTAGGATATCCAAATCTTTTGGTCTAGACTTCTTGACTTATATGGTTGAGAACGAACCTCAAACTTTTCACGAAGCTATGACTTCTCATGAGAGTCCTTTATGAAAAGAAGCGATCAAAAGTGAGATTGACTCCATCTTACAGAACCACACCTGGGAGTTGGTAAATTTACCTCCAGGTTGCAAGCCTTTAGGCTGCAAATGGATTTTTAAAAGAAAGATGAAGGCCGATGGGTCAACTGACAAGTATAAGGCGAGGCTCGTTATCAAAGGGTACAGGCAACGAGAAGGCCTGGATTACTTTGATACGTACTCACCTGTAACTAGGATAACATCCATTCGCGTGGTGATTGCGATAGCAACATTGCGTAATCTAGAGATACACCAGATGGATGTAAAGACAGCTTTCTTAAATGGGGATTTGAATGAAGAAATCTACATGGAGCAACCTGAAGGGTTTTCAGCTCCAGGGAAAAGCAAGAAAGTCTGTAAACTTGTCAAATCTTTGTATGGTTTGAAGCAAGCGCCTAAACAATGGCATGAGAAGTTTGACAACGTAATGTTATCAAATGGGTTTAGAATCAATGAATGTGACAAGTGTATTTATGTCAAAGACACTGACAGAGGTTATGTCATTTTGTGTCTATATGTTGATGATATGCTCATTATAGGTAGTAACGATGAAATGATCAAAACTACCAAGAAGTTGTTAAACTCTAAGTTTGACATGAAGGATATGAGCATTGCAGATGTTATTCTGGGAATTAAGATTACCAGAATCTCTAGCGGAATTGTACATCTCAGTCCCATTATGTTGATAAGATACTTGAGAAGTTTAGTGGATCAGATACGAGTGTGTCATCGACACCTGTAGACTTAAGTCTACATTTTACCAAGAATAATAAAGAAAGTGTCTCTCAGTTAGAATATTCTCAGGTAATTGGAAGTTTAATGTATCTGATGAGTTGTACTAGGCCAGATATAGCTTACTCGGTTAGTAGGCTTAGTAGATACACAAGTAATCCCGATGCTTCTCATTGGAAGGGCATTGTGCGGGTGTTAAGGTATTTACGCTATACTCGGGATTATGGACTGCATTATACTCGATATCCAGTGTTGCTTGAAGGATATAGTGACGCAAATTGGATATCAGATATAAAGGACTCAAAGTCCACTAGTGGATATGTGTTCACTCTTGGTGGGGCAGCCGTGTCTTGGAAATCTTCCAAGCAAACGTGTATATCTAGATCAACGATAGAATCAGAGTTTATTGCTTTAGATAAAGCAACAGAAGAAGCTAAATGGCTACGCCATTTCTTTGAAGATATTCAATGTTGGTCTAAACTTGTGCTAGCTATTTGTATTCATTGTGATAGTCAATATGCAATTGGTAGGGCACACAGTCTAGACATATCTGTCGTAGACATAATTCCATACGACAACTACTCTAGAATGGAGTTGTCTCTATAGACTATGTAAAGTCTAAGGACAACATTGCAGATTCGCTAACCAAAGGGTTAAGTCGAGTGTTAGTCGAAATGTCGTCAAAAGGAATGGGGTTGAGGCCTTTGGAAGTTACCAGAATGGAAACCCAACCTAGTTGACTGGAGATCCCAAGATTTAGATTCAATGGGACAACCTAATTGTGTGTAACGGTGGTATGTCATTGAGGAGGTTAAACCTCCAGCCATTCCTTCTATTAATGATACCTGAAAGTGTAGAGGTTAAGCTGAGCTTTTAATGACTCTAGTGTGCTAAGCTGTTGAGCTGAGTATAGCAGGATACTCAAGTAGAGTCACCTATGTGAGTTTGAAGTGGGGTCGCTTCTAGAAGAATTGGGTAGGCCAAGATTCTTTGAAACCACTCGCTGAACCAGGCTAGTGCCCAGGGCCACACAGGGCACACCAGTGAGAACAGAATGGTGGTAGGAGTAATTCCCGTGTGAGATCTATTGTCTCAGTTTACATAAACGGCAGAGCAGTTCAAGATGTCTTATTCACTGATCAACCAGTAAACTCGATAGGTTTTCACTGGGAGAGATTCAAAGCCAAAAGATACCTTCTCTGATGTCGGGGTTAGTTCATTGCACTCTCTCTTCGAGTCATTATTGTTGAACGATGTCCGTTTGTTGAGTCTTTCGGTCAATTTTTATTCATGTGGGGGATTGTTGGAAAAAAATGATTTTTTGGTGACTTTAATTAAATATTAAAGTGGGTCCTAACCATCTATTGTGTTGGTTCCAAGTGGGTCTAGATACTTTGCAATGAGATATTTACACCACAAATAGTATAGCCAAAACCATTGAAAATTGAATGAGAAATTGCCCCATGAAGTTAGCTTCATGAAAGAGTTAATGGGGTTTGTAACTTCTGCCTTTATTGCAGAGTTTAATAGTGCATTAATGGGGTTTGTAACTCTTACCTTTATTGCAGAGGTTAATGGTGCATTAGTGACTAGTCATAAAGGCTGGAGGCTTCTCCTTTCTCCCCTATACATGTATAAATTGAGACCCTCCTATCAAGTCTCCAACATAGAAATTGTTTCTTCCATTCTTTAGTCAGTTTGCCAGAAAGTTCCGATTGTGAGAGAGTGCTGCCACTGTTTTTGTTCGCTAAGCTAGACAGAGAGTGCTTCTGCCGTAGCTGGTTTTTGACTGTCGTATCTTGGGAGACAGATGCCGGGATTCCTCAAGCATTCGATCCGTGAGGCGGCGAAATCTGTTTTAAGGAAACTGCTACCGTGCAGGCTTCGGTTTGGTTTCTTTATCATTTTATTATTTTGTGTATTTCTATTGAAATTTAGTTGTAATTATCAGTATATGTTTTGGGTATATAATTTTGATATCTTCATAAATCTATTTAATTAATTTCACAATTTGAACAACACTATTTTTCATAGGGTAAATTACATTTTGCCTTCTTTATGTTTGATCATCTTTCCATGTTGACCCTTAATTTTTTTTTTCCTTATACAATTCTTCATGTTTCAAGTTTTTCCTAATTTATTTTAAAAATTAATTTATATCCAAAATTAAACACAGAATGGCATATTAACAATCACATGATACAAAATATTTTATTATATATAATCACACATTTAACACAAACCACTACTACAAAAACAGTTAAAGATCACACTTTGACAAAAAAATATCTCACTTTTATTGGAAGTGTGATAAAAAAAATTAGATTGATATTTTAATCACTCTTAATTTGATTGAGTGTGATAATATTTATTTTTTATGTCACTTTTCAATTAAGTGTGATTATATATATATTTTTTATCACACCTTCTAATTAAAGTGTGATTATATATACATTATTACTTTTTAATCACCCTTTTTAAATAAGTGTGATTATATAGATATACTAGTGTATGCCCGTGCCTAAAGGCAAGGTGAAAATAACGTTAGATTAATCTTCTTCTATCCAATCTTTTATGTAGTACGTGAAAAATTTATTCACAAAATAATTTCAGAGAAAAATTGTTCCTTTCTTATACCATCACTGTTATACTTACCTAAGCTATCAATCTTTCTTGTTCTAATTGAGGAGAGTTGGTCTCATTTGAACTTCAGCTAAAATTTAAAAAGAATATAATTTCAGTGATTGCAATATTAACAAACCATCTCTCATGTCAACTATTGATAGGTAATGTTTAAAAAGAAAAGGCATGGAAAGGAAAATCGTGCAATGCTACTCACCCCCATTGTGCAAAGTTAAAGTGTATCAAAGCCCAAAATGTAGCAAGAAAAATGTATCAATTAGTTAAATAAAATGTATGATTAGCAAACTCATGAACATATTACACTCAAGTCTCAGTAGTATTAGTTAGTTACAGCACTCATTTCACTTTACTAAGCTTAGTTCTCAGACTCTTTATATTACACTTCTCTCTTGCTAATTACTAAGGAAGAGAAAAATAGAAAGTAAAAATCAACAAAAAAAAAAAAAATAGAAGAAACTAAACCTTAATCAACAAAACCACCTCTCTTTGGGCAATCACCTAACCCTCCAATCAAGCATATATGTCTATGGATTACACCAATCTGAAAACATCAAGCACTATCTATAATAGTTGCAAAAGCAAAAATCATCAAGCACTAATTAAAAGTTCCAAACACATTATTAGATTTTAGCTCTTAAACACATTATCAAGCAGTAATATTTATAAATGCCTCCCTCCATCATCAAGCACTAATGATTCAGCAAATATATTTAATTTCTAAAATTGAGGATGTCAACCTTTTAGAGACATGGAATTCAGCACATAGGTAGATAACTTTTCAAGATGCAATTTGTCTCACACCATTTTATTCATTTATCTGCACTTTTTGCCTCCCTCTATCTTTACTCTCCCTCATCCCACACCCACATACCCTCTCTGTTTTTTAATCTATATAGCAAATATTTTATGTACCCAAACACATGTGGGGTTCACACGAGAAACTACTACATATAAAAAAAAAATGTTTCAGAGACACATCCATATAGAGGGAAAAAGAGGGAGATTTACTGGCCAAGAAAAATGCTCTTTCTTTGATAACCTTCATGAATATCTTTGGCACCACAATACAAGTAGCATCATTTCAAAAATCTTCAAACCACAATCTCAAAAGAAAGATTTCATAAACTTACAACTGATATCCAATTGAGAGCATTCAACCTATTTAGAAGTAGTACAAAAAAAAAAAAAAAAAAAAAAAAAAAAAAAAAAAAAAAAAAAACTGCTAATCTTTTTGGTCTTTCCCAAAAACAATAAATAATAATAAAAATAATTAGTAAAGAGAACATTATCCAAAAAATAAATAAATTCATAAACTCAACCCAGTCAAGCAAAGAAAAACTTTTTCCTCACCCCAGTTCAAAAGTTTAGCAAAGGGGAACTTTTTCCTCAACCAAAAATTTGATCATTCGATTAATCTCTCACTCACCTTCCATTCCCTGTGAATTAATAAACACATCAAATAGAGAAACAGTTTATCAAGCATTTGGTGAACATTGTAGTAGCATAAATTATATAGTGGTAAAACTAATTATTTTGAACTTCAATTATTGCAAACTATACTGAAATCCTTATAATGGAATGAATAACAATAAATTTAATTAAAATAACTGGAAATAGGTTGTAATTAATTCCAAGTGACATGAGGAAGTTGGTCTTTGAACTATGGAAATCGAGTAAAAGACTAAATCATCAACTTACAACATCATGAATGTACAAAAAATAAAAAATAGAAACAAAAAAATGGATGGAATCTTGATTACCTCTATTGATAGAGCCTTTAGAACTATTCTCCTCACCAAATTCTGATGCCTCCGTTACATGTACAAAGCATTAAGAATAAAAACATCAGCCTTACATGAATTGATAATTTCTCTACAACACTCTAACTCAACAAAAAATTGTGCATTGATGTTAGGAGAAAAGATCTTTCATGCTAAAACTAATTCCCTGATAAAATAAAAAAATAAAAAAGACAGAAAACTACAACAATAAAAGGTGGGTGTGCCCAACACAGATGAAGGAGCTAAAGGGTTTGCAGAATTCGAAAGGAAGATTCATCTTAATTTTATATATATTTCATCAACAACAACAGCAAAAATAAATAAATCTATAAATAAAACTAACAAAGCTCCACTGACTTATGGATATAATGTTAAAGGGATAAAGAGATATGAAAAACTAACAAAAGAAGGAGGGAGAAAGTTAAAAGATGGCATATAGTAATCTTAAAGACCTTAAAAGGGTTGTGTGAACCCTTTTCCAACAATAAAAAACTAAAAAGGAAAGTCAAACATCGAGTTTAGCGAATCGAATTGATTCACTTCACGATTTACTGATTTGGTTCACCGATTCACCTACGATTCATACAACCTGTTCGTATTGATTACTCACTGAATCAAATCGCAAATTGTATGATTCTAATAGCAGAGATTTCAACACATGTCATATTCATATAAATAAAGTCAAAACTATAAAGAAACACAAACAATTATGCCCAACTTCTCTGCACTCCTCTTTCAGTTATCCATAAAGAAATTGAAGAAAAAAAAATTCAATCAACACTACATAAACAAACCTGCTAAATGGTAGCTAAAATGACACAGGACAAATAATAGGGAACTAATAATTAGACCAAGCAACCATATGACATAACAAATGTTCTGCAATAAGAAATGAGTATATATGTTTTTATCATAAATCATTTTCAATAACTTATAAATGACAATATTAAATTTAAAAAAATTCGTAAACTAAAAACAGATGGAACAATTTTATTCCCAATGGAAGCCAAGCATCCTATTAAAGAATTGTGATACCTTTAATGGGTCAACATGGTGCATTGAAATGCTATGGACAGCAGCTGCAAAAAACAAAAACAAAAAAAATATATATATTCAAATAGCTCAAATTATTCAAATCCTCCCATAAGCAAAATATGAACCAACCCTTTTGGATCCATTTGGTTTGCTCATGGGAAGCAACCAACGCACTGTCACAACAAAAAACCAAATTTGGATTAAAAAAAAAAAAAGGAAAAATTAGGCCACAATATTGATATTGATATTGTGAACTGTTTAAACACCGAAATTGCTTAAGAGATTGACACAACACGGCTATATAGAGGGGTGAAGAGACATATTTTAGTTGTGACAATATAAATGAGAAACACAATCAAACCTGAATGAGAAACAAATCACATAAAAAATTAGACACCTAATGAAAACCAAATAAAAATTTTGAGGCATTTTAGAGACCCATTTTAGAAAAATATTTCAGAGACCTATGTGAGGCATTCTACAGAACATAGTGAATGCATACAAAGAGACACATAAAACAAAAAAAGCCGAAAAAGAAAAATTAAAAAAAAATGTTTTGATGGATTTTCATAAGATTATATGTTTTCAAGTAGAATTATATAAGCAGCTAGCATGGTGCATAAACTATTTTAATAAACTATGTAAACTATTTTAATATAAGCAGCTAGCATGGTGTTCATAAGTTTAGAATTATATAAAACTATTTTAATTGAGCCATTTTATCGAACATGGTGTATGCGTGAAGACACAAACAATATAAATGAGAAACAAATTGTATTGAAATCTACAGGCATAAGATGTTAGGGAAAATATGTGATTCCCCACAAGTAAATCAATCAATGAGAATAAAAACTAATGTGGAAAAATTAAATCAAAAGGCAACACAAGAATTTTTACGTGGTTCCCTCAATGTGAGGTACGTCCACGGGATCAAAATCCGATTCCACTATCAACCAAATAAGTTCCAAACGATTACAAACGAGACACTAATGGTCTCACAAAACCACCCTTAGGTGAATTCCAAATAATCACAAATAAACAAAGAGGAAAGACCTCACCAAATAGATGAACCAAAATCTTCAGAACCAAAGTTGAAGAAGACCCAAAATAACGAACCAAAACAACTTCAAATCAATCCAACCGAAGATGCATTGGGACAATGTTCAAAATAGCCAAACCTTGAAATCAATCAAATCTTCCAATTAACAGAGAACAAAGCCACACACAAACCAAATCACATTGAAGATTGAATTAATTTGTAGCTGCTGCTGTTGCGCCTTACATCGGACAAAACAAAGACCATCTATCTTATTAAATTTTGGGCTTTTGTATTAAAATCCAAATTGTAACCAAATTGAATTAGGTCTCTTAAAATTAGATATAATATATATAAAATATATCATATCCAAACCAAACCAAACCAAACCAAATTAAAATTCTTTTAGTAAACCAATTGGGTCCCACACTCCAATAAGGAGGTATACCCAACATAAGAAACATAAGTATTGAAAATTTTAAAATGAAAATAACAAATTGTAATTAAGAGAGACAGTTGAGATGAGATGAAATGAACATAGAGATGAGACTCAAACAGATGCTGTAGTTTCAAATTATGATACTGAAATCAAAATACAGAAGGAAAAAAATGATGAGGTATGGACAGAAACAATATATTCTGTCCACAAAATCACAATTAAAAATTAGTTAACAGACTACCTGACTATTAACAAAAGAATATTATATATATCTACCTGATTAAAGTCTCCAGTGTGGTAAAGCACAACAGCTAACAGACTGTACGCACTCGCAGTCATACGATGATAGGGACCACAGACAGCTATCATCTTTGCCAATGCCTTCAGAATCAAGTAATACAAAAAATTGTGATTGATTTTTGTACCCGTTAAGAATAGAATTAAACAGCTTACTATAGACAGGATGGCTTTGGTACCTTTGTTCCATAGTTGACAGCATCTTCTAGCTATCGTTTATCGAGTGCCATCTTTGATGACTCCAATAGGGTTCGCCCATCTGCAGAAGAGCATCCTACATGCTGTGTAGCATATGGTTCAAACATCTTGGTTATTGGAAACACGTCACACTAAATTAGATTGTAAAACTTTCAAATCAAATGCAATTTGTGTGAATGTGTGCAAGTGAGAGGGAGAGAGAGAGAGAGAGAGAGAGAGACCCTTACTTTACACACAGGAACAATGCCGATAATATCAGATTTCTTGAAAGGGCTTGGGCTTTCCATATCATAGTCTTTCGGAAGCAACTCCAATCCAACCTGGATATTTATAAAAAAAAAAAAAAAAAAACAAACGAAAAAAGAAACATTAGAATCTCATTCTAATGAAACCATGACCGAAGGCAATAAAAGGAGATGGTACCTTGTGGCAAAGTCCTCGGAGAATTATTAATTTCCTCAATTGTTGAAACTCATCTTTTAGAGTCCAGCTATATCTTTTAGCTAGAAAAGTTTGTAACCACTGCAATTCGAGCATGTGATCACCACTCAAGTTATGTTCAATATCTTCTATTGTGTAGCCCCTAAGCAAGAAATTCAAGCATGAAGCTACTGCTGTGGATAAGTCTGCCACATTATTAATAGAAGCAATAAAGGCTTTAAGGACATGCTTGAAAACTCGAGTGACCATCTCGTGAATACAAAGTGACTGTATATGAGGAAGCTTCTCTACAAGTTCAACTTGGTTTTCATAATGCGATCAGAGCCAACAATAATTAATGTCGTATTTTATTTAGATCAAATTTAAACACTCCGCTGAAATTATGCTTCGTACAATCATGTAGCTTACGTAGATATTTGACAATATTGATCAAGTTAGCAAGCACAATAATTTCCCTAAGAAATAAGATTTTCAGAAGCAACATTCCAGTCTCATATCATTTTGAGCTTTGTGGAGCGCTTGTGTATATGAGAGAGAGAGAGAGAGAGAGAGAGAGAGAGAGAGAGAGATTATCTTCTTAACACACAACCCAAAGAGTGCATTTGTAATCCTCTTAGATGCATGAAGTCAGTCCGTCCATCAACGTCTGTTACCTAAAATCACATATTTTTCACTCCACAAAATCACATATTTTTCAATATACCTTCTTTAATTTACTTGGGATTCTGAACCCATTTGGTATCATTTGCCATGTTTATTAATTAATTGTGAAAAAAAAAAAGCAAAGCCCATTTGATTTCTAAATCAACTCATGACCATTCACATGACGGAAATCAAATCAGTCGAGAAATAACAAACATTGAATGGGAATAATTCACTAAACCCAACAGTATAAAATTTGGAACAACAAAATAATTCACCCCACAATCAAATTTTTTTCAACATTCCTTATTTAATTTACTTGATAATTTGAACCCATTTTGTAAATCAGAAATCACATAATAGGTTCACATAATATAGGTTCACATAAAATTTTACCAGAAATCACATAATAATATAATATAAATCACATAAATCATATAAATCACACAATCAAACCCGAATGAGAAACAAATCACATAATAGGTTCACATAATATAAATCACACAATCAAACCCGAATACGAAACAAATCACAAAAAAAATTAGACACCCAATGAAAGAAATTTTGATGCCATAAAATTTTTTGAGAATACATAAACTAAAAATTTCTGGTATATTGACTCACAATATATGTGAGTCAAAAATTAACCGGGTATATTTCTTCCCTTTAAATTTTTCCCTTCATCCATCTTCGACAAATATCAAAAATTTCTGGTATATTTGAGAATACATAAACTGCATTTTCTGGTATATTGACTCACAAATTCACAATACACAAATTCACAATGCCCTGGGTCCTAGGCTTATTCACAATATAGTCTATATATATATATAAATAAAAACAGAGCAAATTTTCACTGATTGATATATAGTAACATCAATATTCTATGGCATCAAAGTCAATGAAGCTCTGTTTTATGGAAAACAGAACATGTAGAAGTGGTGCAATGCCAAAGAGTAGTAATATCTACTTGAATCCAAGACTGGATTTGGGTCCCCTCCTTTCTGTGATCTTCTTCAAGGATTGGGGCTCTCATCAAATAAACTCCTGGACCCACCGATCTAGGCTTATTTCAGAAACTCCTGGATCATCAGGTCAGGTGTGTAATGACCCTACGCACAAAGAAAACCTTGCTGCGATGTCACCGAACCCACCGATCTAGCAAGGCTAGCACCGATCTAGCCGATCTGCTCTTGAATGAGAAAGAAAAAGAGAAAGAAAGAGAGAGAGAGAGAGAGAGAGAGAGAGAGAGAGAGAGAGAGATGGATTTGTCTGCTCTTGAAAAACCATCGTAGAAGAACCACCGTAGGATTGATTCACCATTGTAAATCCACCATTGAAATATAATGTCTCTTAGACATTTTGTAGCTATTGGATTGAATCAATCCTGCGGTTCATATTTTGACAGAGCGACAACAGTCCCATCAGAATTCAAAAACAACTCTCCCTTATTATATAGATATACATATATTTTAATCACACATTCTAATTAAAGTGTGATTATTTATATATTTTTTAATCACACATTCTAATTAAAGTGTGATTATATATACATTACTACTTTTTAATCACACTTTTTAAATAAGTGTGATTATATATATATATTTTAATTGTTGGATTTATTTTTCTAGTGTGGCCCAATAGTCTACAGATTTTCTACATGTTTTTAATTTATTTTGACTCCACAAATAGATAAAGCCAATATTTGAGATCAAGTTCAGTAATTAGAATTTTAATATAATCACTCTTCTAAGATAAGAAGGAAACCTTGATGGATTAGGAATTCTTCTGATAGAGTTTATCTGGCCCTCTTCTCTCCTCTATATAAGGATGGGTGACTCCCCTTTCATATCATGAGTATTTTTCCATCACTTTAAGTTTTATAGTCATCCTAATTAAGAGAGACAGAGAGAAGAAGGTGAGCCAAAATTAAAGGTTCAACTCTAAGGGGTATTTTCTCAACTTCTCTAATTCAATGGCTGACAAAGGTATATTCGTTTTATTCTTGAGTTGTATTGAATTCAAGATCCTGTTAAGTTTAATTCCGCATTATTATTATGGTTACATGTATTATTAAATCTTACATGTGGTATCAGAGCTTTAGTTTGTGAATCAATACACCTTGGAATAATAATATATTTATAAATATTGTTATTATATTATAATTATAATTATTCATAACAACATATTTTTTGTTCATAAGGTTTGAACTCTCGGCATGTGTTGGTTATCTTGAATATACGCTGTATGTTCAACCTTGTAAGCTGCATGCCATATTTATTAGGCAGTGTCTGAATGGTACATCGAATCTCTTTCATATTCATTATGCATCAAAGAAACTCTTTTTGTGTTGTTAAAAGTCAAAGGTTGTGTAAAAGAAGATTTCATTCCTGATTTCTAAATCGTAACTAAGTATGCACATCATGGACTCCCTCACTCACTTTGTTTTGTGATATGTTAGGTGCAAACTTTTATGTAATTCTATATGCTATTCATATGCATGTTTTGATTTATTATCAATTTTAGTGATAATAATTTTTATAATCATCATAACATTGAATTGAGTGTATTGCTTGCCGTTATGATAAAGTGCATAGATTAAAAGCAATTTTAGAATTTTGCTGAATCATTCGGACTATTAAATAAATATATTTATTTGATTGTATCACATTAGAGGATTATGTTTTTGCTTTGTTTAAATTATGCACACTTATTGTCTATTATTGTTAAATATTTATATATTTTCATGATTTAAAATTGATATCATGATATAATTTTATGACATTGAATATTAAATATTAAAGTGGTTAATTCATATTAGGTGTAATTCTTATTAACCATTATTTTAGATATTCATGATTGTTATAATACATATATAAATATTCATGTTCATCCAGAGTTATTATTATTATATTGGTAATAGCAATCACATAAAAGAAATTTTAGAAATCATAAAAATAGTGATCTCATTAAAATTGTGATTGAATTAATGATAATTAAATAACTCAAAATTAATGAATAGAGAATATTGTTGGTTAGTTCCGTATTCATAGGGTTTACTAATTTAGTAGCTGCCAAAGTGGCCTAAATTTGTAAAACTTATGAATATAGAACTACATAAAAGAATTGTTAAAAAGGGTAACATTAAGATCGATAATATTCTCAATTGCAGTTATAATTAGGAGATTGAGACTAGCCCAAAGGAGAGTCACTTTCAAATAATTATGAACTGGGTAGGATAATGTAACTTATGTAATTTGAAAGATTAGAATTGAATACCCAAAGGTAACATGACTAGCTGAAAAATTGCATAAATTACTTTAGACCTACATAAGTGATTCTTGACGAATGGACAATAGATATACCTAAGTTTTGCCCAAAGGAAAAACTTATGTGATATCAATAGTTCATCATAATTCTCAAAGCTTTAATATGTATATTGTTCTACTTATTTCAGTAAAAGTTCCCACCTCATTGCACTCTCATGCATCGGGCGTCCCTCTACTTACTGGCTCGAATTTTTCGGAATGGTATGAACATGTTCAGTTTACACTGGGTGTGTTGGACCTCGATATGGCATTGCTTGAAGATAAACCTGCAGACATTAATGAATATAGTACTGCAGAACAAGTTGCCCTTTCTAAATCTTGGAAAAAGTCCAATAGACTCAGTTTGATGTTCATGAAGATGACCATTGCAAATAACATCAAGACCTCCTTACCTCAAACTGTTAATGCATTGGAATACTTAAAGGCTGTTGAAGATCGATTTAGATCTGCTGACAAGTCACTTGCTGGCACTATTATGGCTGAATTGACAACAATGAAATATGATGGCAACCGAGGAGTTCAGGATCACATCCTCAATATGGCTGACAAAGCTGCAAAGCTTAAAACTTTAGGAATGCAAGTTGATGAAACTTTCCTCGTGCAGTTTATTCTCAACTCACTTCCATCACAATACAGCGCATTCAAAATTCACTATAACACCAATAAAGATAAGTGGAATTTGAATGAGCTGACTAATATGTGTGTTCAGGAGGAACTGAGGTTGAAGGAGGAAGGACGTCAAACTGCATTGGCTGTAACTCATGGAGCTATAAAGAAAAAGAAGGGTAAGTTTGTAAAATCAAAGAAAAATCCACCAAAGAAAAAGAATGAACCTGGGGAAGAAAATCAGGCTAAGAATGGTTTCACTGTCAAGTGCTACTTTTGTGGCAAGAAGGGACATGTGAAGAAAGACTGCAGCAAGCGAAAGGCTTGGTTCGAAAAGAAAGGTAAGAAATTTTCTTTTGTTTGTTATGAATCAAATCTTGCTGAAGTACCTTCCAATACGTGGTGGATTGACTCTGGGGCCACGACCCACATTACAAATGACATGCAGGGATACCTCTCAACCAGGAAACCGA